CACCATTAAATAAAAAAAAAAGTGAAAGTTACACCAGGGTGGTTAACTAGCAAGGTTAAACAACACATAAGGGAAAATGATATGGCTTTCAAAAAATATAAGTCAGAGTGGTCAACAATGGCATTCCAAGACTACAGGGAATGCAACAACAGATGTTAAAAAGCAATCAGGGCTGTAAAAATTGAATATGAGGAACACATAGTAACAGAAAGCAAATGGAACCCCAAGAAACTTTATGAATAAATAAATAGCAAGAGGATAAGGGCAGACCATGTAGACCCCATAATGGGTGATGAGAGGAAGTTAGCAACCAGTGACAGAGAAAAGCTAATGCGTAAAAAAATTATTTTTGTCTGTTTTTACAGATGAGACAGACGTGGACAGTGATCTGGGCATCAGTTGCAGAAATAGTAACAAAAGTTTTACCGTACCTCAGTGGCTGTTGGAGAGTAGAGTAGTACAGAGGCTAGAAAGATTAAATGTAAACAAATCCCTAGTACCTGATGGGTTACATCCAAGGGTACTAAAGGAACTTAGCCAGGTCATAGCCAGACCATTGTACAACATTTTTATCGACACTCTCATGGCAGGTATGGTACTGGCTGATTGGCAAAAAGCGAATGTGATACCAATATACAAAAAGGGCAAATTAAGTACAAAGGGGAACTATAGGCCAGTCAGCTTAAAGTTGAACTATGGGGTGAGTGAATTACACTCATCCCCATAGTTAGAGCTGACGTGCGACATTGAAACAGTCACACGTCAGTTGATCGGGAAGTGAGCAGAAACATACTACCGATCCTCTTACTTTCTGATCATCTCTGACTGCAGGGACGGACGGTGAGGGGACGATCTGGGGGTGCTCATAAATCACATATTTTGCAATAGTATGCAATGCCAAGCAGCAGCCAACAAAGCAAACAGCATACTGTTGTGCATTAGAAGAGAGATTGTAGCAAGGAATCTAAGAGTAATACTTCCACTTTATAAATCACTGGTTCGGCCTCATCTTTCTCAAGAAAGACGTCCTCGGACTTCAGAGAGTTCAGAGAAGGGCTAATAATTAAAGAGATAGAAGGCCTGAGTTATGAAGACCGCCTTAAAAAATTAAGTTTATTCACCTTAGAAAAGAGGCGATTAAGAGAGACCTTATTGCAGTATTCAAAATCATCAATGGGGACCACAATATTCGAAACAAGTTGTATATACTGAGAACTATATTGAGAACAGGAGGACACAACAAGAAGTTAGAAGAAAGGGGGTTCAATCTTAGAGTACATAAAGGTTTTTTTTTACTGTGAGAGTAGAAAAATTGTTACATTCCCTTTCACAGGCAGTGGTATCCGTGATAGCGTTGATAGATTCAAGAAACTTCTAGATGATACACACACACACACACACACTTGACTTCACTGATATTATACAGGAGCTAACAAGCCCCTGTGTGATAGCATTTGGAGGTGACAGGTTCTCTTTATTGACCCGTCACCTCCAACACAGGAGTTCTAGCACAGCACTGTGCTTGTTATCCTGTGACAGGAGTCTGTGAGTACAGCATTCGTGTGTCACTGCTCACACGGAGCAGAGCAGAAAATGGACATTCTCTACTCTGCTCCCCGCTCTCCATCCTGATCTAGTTTGCCGTGATCCCGGGTTCTCCAGAAGAGCGGGAGACCCCAAAGAGCACGGCAGAAAGGGATCCAGCGGGCAGAGAGAAAGGGAGCGATATTAGAGGGAGCGGCTGGGGACATTGCCACCGGAGAGAGAGAGGGGAGGGGTTGGAGAGGGAGAATCAGGCTGGTTACAAGTGATTTTGGATGGCTGTACTGCCGCTCAAGATCACCTGTACAAAATGGCTCCCACTTTACATTTAGCCTTGCTGCCTGCCCGAAGTAGGGTTAAGGGCCGATTCACAACACAAAGGCTGTGTTCCAGGGCGTTCAATAGGGTTGCCACCTTTTCTTCAAGTGAAACCCGAACACTCTAGCGCTGCACGCGGCAATTTTTTTTTTTTTAATATAGAGGAGAGGCAGCCAGGGGAGGGAGTGATGAGACCAGCTAGAGAGGACTACAAATCCCAGCAATACATTATACAGCAATACAAAATAATATGAAGCTACATAATCAACCTCTGCAACACAAGCAGGCTGGCTCCCTGCAGTACAATCGCCCGCACCCAGAACGCAGGCACATTAGTGCTTGCGTTCCAGTCCAGTGCTATATGCAAAAGTAGTGCTTGCAGTATTTTTGCAGATCGCACTGGACCGGAATGCAGGCACTAGTGTGCTTGCGTTCCGGGCGATCGCACTGCAGCCGTGACTGCGGTGCCATTGATTTCAATGCACCGCCACGCCCCCTCCCACCCCTGAATGCAGGGAGCCGGCTTGCCTTCCAGTGCGTTCCAGAGGTCGAACACTCTGGAACACAGCCTTTGTGGTGTGAACTGGCCCTCAATGTAGAAAAAAAAACTACTCGCTCGGCGCCCAGGACTCCCTGTCCTGGGCGTTTGGCGATAGGAATTCCACACCCATGCATTACATTGTAATATTCCCTATTATAATCCATTTCGCTAATGTAAAGAAATTTCAGCACACAGGTTCTGGGCCTCTCACTCTCTCCCCTCCCCCTCTTCTCAGTGCTTTCTACTTATGTTCTTATGCTGCCCATACACCTGACGATTATCGTACGATAATCGCGGGTGATCCTGCGATCGTACGATGATTTTCGTATAACGAGCAAGCTAGAAAATCCGCCGAAAATCATACGATTTTCGCAAGACGAAAAGCCGCCCGACCCGAGGTACGCAAGCGCACACTGCCCGCTCACCATTGCAATCATTTGCAAGCCCTCCCCTCAGCGGGGAGGACTTGCGATGATCGCAGGTACGATCTGCCTGTCCATGATGGGCAGGTCATATTACATTTTAATTACCCTACAACCATCGCACAACAAAAGTCGTGCGGTGGTTGTAAGGTGTATGGCCACCTTTACACAGATCCCAGTGTTTGCACCTGCACTTTATTATCACTATAGAAGGTTGTGTCCTCTATAATGTGGTACTGGGGTCACTTTGTATTCAGCTCCTTCTCATACTCCAATGTCCTCAATGTGCATTCTGTATTAAAATGTCCATATTGTACCTGACAACCAGTTTTCTGCTGTTCTGAATAAAACATGTGATTGAGGAGGGGCGGGGGGGGAGTCTGTCAGGTAGGCATGCACGTAGCTCCATCATTTCTGTCCGTTGCTCACTCCCCCCCCCTCCTCTCAGTGTCCATCGGTCTCGCTCACTCTTTCCCCCACCCCCTTCTCTGAGGGGAGGAGGAGGGGGGAAAGAGTGAGACACAGACCGACCATGCTGAGGAGGGAGGGAAGCATGAGAGAGACAGACCGCCAATGCTAGGAAGCTCCCAGCGTCGGCCGATCTGTCTCTTTCTCTCCCCCCAGTCTCTATCACAACCCCCACCATCCCCGGGGCCTCTGTCTGCTGGGAAACACTTACCTTTCCCCTCCAGGCAGGCAGCAGCAGAAATGGTACTACCCCCCTGACGACGGCCCTGGTGGTGAGAAACCCTGTGTGGCAGTTTTTTAACCACTTGCCGTTAGCCCGTTGTAAAAAAACGGACGGACGGCACTGCTGCATTGGCGGGGTGGGGCGGCGCGGCGAATCATTTTAGGGCCATCAATCACTGATAACACTAAACTGATGAGCGGTAACCGCTTTTAAAGCGTCGCCTATGGCCAATTTTGGGTATTAACGTTTCTTGAGGTTTCACGCGCGCACGCAATTTTAAGGCTTGACATGTTTGGTGTCCTTTTACCCGACGTGACCCCATCTTTTATATTTTACCAAAAAATTGGGTAATAATAAATGTTTTATCATTTAATATAGGGGAAACTGTTTTTTTTGTTTTTTTAAATTCGGTAATTTTTCCTTAATATAGTAAAAAATAAAAACCCCAGTGGTGAATAAATACCACCAAAAGAAAGCTCTATCTGTCCCCAAAAAAGGGTATAAAATTCATTTCAGTACAGCGTTGCATGACGGAATAAATGTCAGTCAAAGTACCGCAGCGCTGAATACTGAAAAATGGCCTGGATGGGAAGGGGGTTTAACACCGCGGATGTCAACTGGTTAAGCAGGGAGTTAGGTGGTCATTAAGGGAAACTGTGTGTAGTAAGTCTCCAAGAGGCAAGGATTTATTTTCATGCTTTTTTTTGTTTTGCTGACTTTCTCTTTGTAAATAGTGTAAATAAACTGCACGTGTGTTTTCCCCAGAAAAATCATTGCTGTGCCTGGTTACTGTGTGAGAAACTCATCCAGGGAGTCTCACACACCTGCTGCCGAGCTAACACCCTCACATTGTATAGTAACTTGTAATTACCGTATTTTTCGCTCCATAAGACGCACTTTTTTCCCCCCAAAAGGAGGGGGAAAATATGCCTGCGTCTTATGGAGCGAATCCCGACGCCCGAGACATGCAGTTTCGGGCGCCGGGCGAGTAGTAGGAGCCACTGCTCGTTTAATACGAGTGATCTAATGAGATCACTCGTATTAAAGCCGAGCAGCGGCGGCGGCGATCGTATTCAGCAGTAGGAGCTACTGCTCGTTTAATACGAGTGATCTAATGAGATCACTCATATTAAAACCGAGCAGCGGCGACGATGGAGATCACCATAGAGCAGACGAAGAACGGACTTTCTTCGTCTACTCTGTGTGATCACTGAGACCGTGGCGCTGTAATCACAGCGCCACCTGTCTCAGCGGTCAGTAACTGCAGCTTCTGTCACAGCTTCTGTCACAGCTTCTGTCATAGAAGCTGTGTCAGAAGCTACAGTCTGTCGAGTGCTCCATAAGGCGCGCCGGACATCCCTGCGTCCTATGGTCCGGTGCGTCTTATGGACCGCAAAATACGGTACATATTATGTAACTCTATACTGTGCATATATATATATAACATATATTAGGGCAGACTGATTGATAGTTTTAGATACAGCACCTTTGTGAAGTCTCCAGCGAGAAATCCTTGTTCAAAGCCACTCCACATTGTTAGAGGAATAAGAAGAGCTTGTCTTTTATCTTGAAGTTGCCTAAATGTTGCCAATATTTTTATCCAAAATGATTCTCTCTTGTCAGCTTTTCCAGGTTCTTCTTCTTTTAGGTCAATATTATCCAGGAATATAATTACAAGCAAGACAGCAAGTATCCCAGTTCCTTGAGGGAAAAAAAAAAACACATAGGGCAATGAAATGTGAAGCAAAGTGATAAAAAACATCACCTCATAATAAAAAATGTTTAAAAAAGTAAAATATACTGCAACACTAGAGCACAGTTATATAGAAAAGCATACAAACTTGGATTAAATATTGATTTTAGAAGGAGACCTTCAACGGAAGAAAAGACCCCTGTGTAAAAATTAGGGATGCACCAATACTAGTATCAGTATCAGTGCCGATACAGACAATTTGGACGAGTACCAAATGCTCCAATACTTACCACCGATACCAGAACTTTTGGTCAGAGGGAGCATGGAGCTGGCTTCCTTTCCAGTCAGGAAGCCAGGTGGTGGGTTATGACCCGCCTTCTGGCTTCCTGATTGGCTAGGAAGCCAACTTCACTTGTTGCTATGCAGCCTGGCTTCCTGACCAATCAGGAAGCCGGACGGCACCTCATCACTCACCGCCTGGCTTCCTGACTGGTTAGGAAGCCAGGCAGCCTCAACAAGTGAAGTTGGTGTTCTTTCGCTAGTGGTCAGGTGCAAGGCTTTAGCCAATTAGGGCTCACATGGCACTGTGCCGTGCACAGTGGCTTGTGTGGAGCTCAGCGGGCTAACAGCCCGCTGAACGCCCTGACAGTTTGTGTGTTCGCCGAACACACAAACTGCCGATATTCGAGTCGAACTCACACTCGACTCGAACATCAAGCCCATCCCTATTTAAAAGTCCCATCATTCTTTACTCCCTAAAAACCTGTTCAGGAATAGTGGAGATGGCAGGGAGGGGAGCATCTGGCTACCGAGTTGAGTCTCTTAACAGACAGACATGCTTGTCCTTACCAACTCCTATCGAATGCAATCAGATCCCTGATCATAGATCTGAAATTTCTACACCAGATGTAGAGGTTCACCACCCACATTTGAAATGCATAGTGCACCTAAAACCAGAACTTGATTCTCCGGCACAGGTAATCTTACTTCTTGGGAGAGACATCTTACGAGTTCACAAAATGAGAGCTCAGATAATTGGTTCCCACAATGCTCCCTATGCCCAGAAGTTAGATGTAAGATGGGTCATTATAGGAGATTTCTGCCTAGGTAGCATGCACAAACCTACCTCTATTAGCAGCATGCTTACAAGTGCATTAGAGCATGTACGTCCCTCTCTTTTCCAGCCATTCCACAATCAGTTCCTCATAAAGGAATTGCCCTACTCCACCCATTTGCCTTGTCCCTTTATAGGTCTCCTGTGACAGTGATCAAGATAATTTAGGGTGCACAGTCTTCCACCACTGTAACCCAGCAATACATTATACAGCAATGCAAAATTATACCACCACCTAGGGAGGACTACAAATGCCAGCAATACATTATACAACAATGCAGAATACCATCAGGTATAGAGGACTACAACTTCCAACAATGCATTATACAGCAATGCAAAATAATACCATCAGCTATAGAGGACTACAAATCCCAGTAATACATTAAATAGCAATGCAGAATAATACCCTCAGCTATAGATAATTACAAATTCCAGCAATATATTATAATATATTATACAGCAATGCAGAATACCATCAGCTATAGAGGACTACAAATCCCAGCAATACATTATACAGCAATGCAGAATAATACCACCAACTACAGTATAGAAGACTATAAATCCCAACAATGCATTATACAGCAATGCAGCATACCACCACCTATAGAGGACTACAAATCCCAGCAATGTATTATGCAGCAATGCAAAAACCAACACCTACAGAGGACTACAAATCTTTGAAATTATAGTATAATGTAAAGCAGCAAGAATATATCTATATATACAATATGTATGATTGTGCTAATCCATTCCTGGTGCATGAAGTGCGCAACATACTGCTCCTCTGTAGTCAAGTCACAAATCACATGCATCTCATAGCTCTGTAATGCTCATCCTGCTGCTTCAGCATGCTGCCATGTTATTGGCCTCTGTACAATGATCAATTGTGGATTTTCCTGGAGCCAAAATATTATTGTTTTTGGAAAGGTTCAAGCCAGAACTGCTATGTAACTAATGTGGGTTTATAGGAGATGGTTGTTTAACCAGCTGCCGTCCGCCCGTAGTAGAAAAACGGACGGACGGCACGGACGGGCACGCACGGGCAGAAAAGACCCGTCCAATGCGAACACCCGGTAAATGAACTTTAAAATAATTTTATGTCAATGAAATGTATTAGCACTGTATATTCAATACATTATGTTTTTATGGAAATACTATATATGGTTGTTGATCTATCTTTGGATCACAGAGAAAGCCCCAATAACATTTTTTATATGTAGGAGAACATACACCAGCTGTGCATGGATTGCAGGGATCTGTAGTTTTACAGCAGGTAAAGCAACAGAATGCTCTTCTTTAAAATACTAATAAGCAGCAACCAATAACATGGCTGGAGCAGCAAGATGAGCTGTGAGATGTAGTGTACAGCACTGTGCGTACTGTACAGCACTAATCCTGTCTGTTAATGCATGGGTGTGTGTGGCGTAACGCAGAGGTCAGAAGTGTAATACAGAGTACAGAGATCACCAGTGTGATGCACAGTACAGAGATCAGCATTGTGATGCACTTTGCAGAAGTCAGCGGTGTGACACACAGTACGGAAGTCAGTGGTGTAACGCACAGTACAGAGTTCAGCAGTGTGATGCACAGTGCAGAGGTCAGCGGTGTAATGTAGACATCGGAGGTCAGTATGTAGTGTCGAGGTCAGAGTGTGACGCACAGTACAGAAGTCAGCACTGTGACGCACAGTACAGAAGTCAGCGCTGTGATGCACAGTATAGAGGTCAGGGTGTGATGCTGCAGAGTGCAGAAGTCAGGGTGTGATGCAGAGTACGAGATCAGGGTGTGACGCAGAGTACAAAAGTCAGCGCTGTGACGAGAGTGCAGAGATCAGTGCTGTGAGGCACAGTACAGAGGTCAGGGTTTGAGGCAGAGTGCAGAGGTCAGGGTGTGACGCAGAGTACAGAAGTCAGCGCTGTGACGCACAGTACAGAAGTCAGCGCTGTGATGCACAGTACAGAGGACAGGGTGTAACGCACAGTACAGATGTCAGGGTGTGATGCAGAGTGCAGATGTCAGGGTGTGATGCAGAGTGCAGATGTCAGGGTGTGATGCAGAGGTCAGGGTGTAATGCAGAGGTCAGCGGTGTGACGCAAAGTGCAGAGGTCAGTATGCAGTGCAGAGGTCAGCGGTGTAATGTAGAGGTCAGTATGTAACGCAGTGCAGAGGTCAGTACGCAGTGCAGAGGTCAGCGGTGCAATGTAGAGGTCAGAATGTAACACAGTGCAGAGGTCAGCAGTGCAATGTAGAGGTCAGGGGTTAGTATGTAACGCAGTGCAGAGGTCAGTACGGAGTGCAGAGGTCAGTACGGAGTGCAGAGGTCAGCGGTGTAATGTAGAGGTCAGCGGTCAGTATGTAACGCAGTGCAGAAGTCACACAGAAAGTACAGGGACTTACAGTTGCTCTGACCTATTTCCTGTTGATGGTGGGGAAAGAGCGAGGTTGCCTGTATGTCCAGTCGGCTCGTGGTGCCCTCTCTCCCACGCAGCACAAGCTACCCAATTGCAGTTTGGCAGTCTCTCTCTCCCACCCATGGCAGCTGAGGTGGGCGGAGGAAACTGCCATGGCCACTGAAGAGCCCGATCGCTGAATCGGGTGCTTCTTCTCTTCTCCCCGCCGCCACAACCACTTAATCTCTCCCCTCTCGTCCAAGAGGGGAGAGATTAAGTGGTTGCGGTGGTGGGGGCCATTTGTAGAGGCATCAGAGAGGCCTGGGGGGCCCAGTCTGCCCCTGTCGGGGGGTATATCAGTTTCACAGAGTGGTTTAGATACATATTGTCCGGGGACAGTGCAGAGTGACTGGGAGATTTTTTTTACCTGTGACTACAGTTGGAGGATTGTTGTAAGTGATTGCTAAAGAAATCTGTTATATTTTGTTCTGGGTGATTACTGGAGACAAATATAACGGATTTCTTTAGCAATCACTGACAACAATCCTCCAACTGTAGTCACAGGTATAAAAAAAAAAATCTCCCGGTCACTCTGCACCGCCCAGGTGGTGGTACCACTATGAATATTAATAAATGCATATGCATGGAGAGAAGGAGTTTTTACACTCCCTACACTCAGGGGCGGATCCAGAGTCTATTCTCGGGAGGGGCACTGCCAGAAAATTAAGTTTTGCTTACACAATGGTTAATATTTTATTTAAGACGGTTTCCCGGCCAACCACAATTAAGCCGGCCAAACAACATGCAGCCGGCTTCCCGGGCAATCAGGAAGCCGGTTGGCATGTCATTACCCGCTGCCGGCTTCCTGATTACCCGGGAAGCCTGCTCCATGCCAGTGGAAGCACCGGTATTGGTATTCAGTATCAGCGAGTACCAAAAGCAAAATACCGGTACTCGTACTTGATAACGAAAAACCGGCATTGGTGCATCCCTAGTTTTGATTAAAACTATTTTTTTGTATTGGGACAAGTAGATTGTCATGCAGGGCAAGTAGATTCGGCCCCCGCTTAAGCCCTTGGAAAAGTCGTTTAAAAAAAAAAAATTTCCACACCCCTGATTACACAACAATGCAGAATACCATCAGCTATAGAGTACTACAAATCCCAGCAATAATACATTATACAGCAATGCAGAATACCATCAGCTATAGAGGACTACAAATCCCAGCAATCCATTATACAGCAATGCAGAATACCATCAGCTATAGAGGACTACAAATCCCAGCAATAATGCATTATACAGCAATGAAGACTGCCAACAGCTATAGAGAACTACGATTCCCAGCAATACCATTATAACCCGTGGATCCGCCACTGCCTACACTGTAGTTCCCACTGTACACAGCAGTCATGCAGCCATTTAAAAAAAAAACGTGGATCCTGAGAGGCAACTAAAAAAAAGTAAGTTTTTGTGTTTTGTATCCAGGATTTGCATATGCCGGCATCATCCACACACCGTGTACATTGCTGGCATATGGTTTTTTTTTAAATGCCCCCGCAAAGGTGAAAATGTCCTTTAGCTCATGAAACTTTTGACTGGGATGCCCCACTGCTCCCTGATAGAGAATTCTTCAACTCTGCCCAAGAATTCTTTTTAACAGCTTTATCTGTCCCCCATGTTTCATGCCCTTATGTTCCTGTACCTTCTACAAAAGTACAGAGTCAAACACTTTGCATATTTTCTGATGCTTCTGTCAACGCAATCACAGCTGTTGCCTACTTAAAGCCCATTTCCACCTTTTGGGGAGACATTTTTACAAAACAACATATGCCAGCAATGTACACGGTATGTAGATTATGCCGGCATATGCCGATCCTGGATATAAGCACAAAAACTTACCTTTTTTAGTTGTCCTCTCAGGTTTCACCTGTTGTTTTGAAATGGCCGCCAGACTGTTGTGTATAGTGGAAACTACAATGTAGGACATGGAAAAACTCCCTTTTCGTCAATGCTTTGCTTCCCTTGTGCACATGCATTCATTAATATTCATAGTGGTAACCCCCCTAGGCAGTGCAGAGTGACCAGGAGATTTTTTTTCCTGTGACTACAGTTGGAGATTTGTTGTAAGTGATTGCTAATTAAATCCGTCATATTTTCTTCTGGAGACAAAATATAATGGATTTATTTAGCAATCGCTTACAACAATCCTCCAACTGTAGTCACAGGTGAAATAAAAATCTCCAGGTCACTCTGCACTGTCTCCTAGACCAGTGGTTCTCAACTCGTGGGTCGCGACCCAAAAGTAACACGCGTTGGGTGCGCCTACGTATGAAAACAACTAACGCACTACACATGTTGGGCATCGCTGCGCACGCCGGAGTGAGAACAATCATGCTAGGGCCAGAATTTTTGGGTATCATTAAACTGATTACCTGTGGGGGCTTTTAAAGTGTTGTCTATGGACTTTGCATGTTGGGTATCTGTTTACTTGTAACCTCA